TCATTGCCCCCCCCTTTTCCGTGGCTCCGCAGGCCCATCCGACAATAACTGCCTCTGGACTCAAGAGGGACCAGGCTGCGGTGGAGAGGGCATTACAGAGGAGAGTTAGGGAATCTCGACTGGAATTCCAGAACCAGGAGTCCCTCATGGGACGATGACTTTTGGCTCCAATTCTGGTATGAAAGGTTCTTGAAATCTTCAAAGTTCCTATTCACGCCTGCTCCGAAACGTCGAAGCCAGGATGTAGCAACACTACTTGCGGTCCGGATAGGGCGTTGGAATTTGGCCAGCTTCCAGATCCATGATGTAATCCCTCCAGCTTCGTGGCTGCAGGTCAGGGTAGAGTTCCCTTGCGTCGAGATAGCCCAGATACTTGGCGTTCTCGGGGGTATTGTCGCCTCGGACGGCGAGAGTATAGAAGTATTGTGCCATCCCTGTCTCCATGGTGAGGACTCCTGGATTCTTCTCGATGGTTTCCAGCAAGCTTGCCTCGGACACCTTGACGCACATGAAGTGTCAGCAAGTTGCCTCAGACCCGGTATCATGATGGCGACCTCCATGGAATAACTGAGAGATGATGAGAATGACAATCAATACTTGCATATTTCTTCTCGGCGGAGACCCCGGAGATGGCTTCGGCCTCGCTCCAGGCTTCAGTTGTTGTCTTGACTTCTCCATAGACAAACACAAGATGGTTGAGGGTCCTTTCGTCAGCAATGATCCTGGCGACAAAAGGTGCGATGTCGCGATTATCCGTCAGCGCGATCCTCACGTTTCCTTCATCAACGATGGGCATGGGCTGCACAAAGGCCTTCGGATCAGCTGGCTGGGTTAGCGGGCGCGGGATGGTCATCTGATACCACCAGCCGACATCAACGGCAGTGTAAGGAAGGTAGAGTTTCTTGATATGATTCAAAATTTCTTCCTTCTGCAAATTTGGCAAATCAGCACAAAACCCAGAAACTCCCCCGTGTTGCATATGTACCAAACGCAACTTACCTTTTCCCTCATGAACGTGACACCGCCGGGCGGGCACACAGGAGCGAAGAAGCTCGTCACAAATCTTCCTACGTTGGCTTGCTTAGCCGCCAACGCGAGGTTGAGCTCCTGTGGCATCTGCTGGAGCGTCATGCCGGAGACGACGACATCTGTGCCAGCCAGCACGTTGGCGACATAGTCGATTGGACCATCAAGGTCCACAGCGCGCACAGCGGCACCGAGCTCTTTAAGGGCCGTAAGTTCCGGTTTGTTAAGAGATGCCGCTCGGGCCAGAATAATGACCTCCTGCAGATATTGATCAGTTGTAGGTTCACTGCCGACTGCTGTGAAGTGGGGACATAGGGTCGTACGAATTGATCTTGGTCAGACAGGAGAACGCGAGCAATAGATCCCCCCGTGGCGCCGGTGGCTCCGACGATGGCGACTGTGAGTTTGCGAGACATGGTTCTTTAATCCGAAGGTAGGAAAATCTGCACCACGCTGCACAAAAAGGTAGTATGTGTTCGAGCAGTGCACCAAAGCACAGCATTTGGGGCTTGGCCGCACTCTTATATGCCAGAATCGTCACTAGTTACTGGTTCCAGCCATGACGAAGAATCTGTCCGGCTATGTTGACGGGTCCAAGTGATTCCCCGAGATGGCCTGTGGCTTACAGATAATGACATGCAGCGGTGACACTGAAAAGGCGATTCGGAGCGGACGAAGGTCGGCCTCCTGGGGGGAAGAGCGGACAGGGGCGGAAGAGCGTGAGCAGTTCTAGTCTTGGCGGGCGGATCGGGTGCTCTTTGGGGTCCAAAAAGCGGACTGGAGCGGATTGTTGAATCAAACATGAGCGGGCCTCACTAAACCAGAGCGGAGTTTGCATGAGATCATCTCGGCCCCATTCCGCTTCTGCGGCCTCGCCAGCCTTCTCAACTCGACCGCAAACCTACTATCC